AGTCTCTGTCACCTCTTGCCTGCGACCTCTTACTGGTCTGTCAAGTGTCTCCTCTCTCTAAATCATACACCACAGAACTGCTAGTACTAGAAACTGTGGGCAACACATTCAACAAGCATTTATTAAGAGCTTACTATATGCCAAGCTAGGTGCAGATAATAAAAAAATAAAAACTATTCAAGCCTCTGCCCTCATAAGGCTTACCTGAGAAGTAGTATGGTATAGTAACTGACAGTACTCAAGCAGATACTGACCACATCACTCCCTGGAACTAGAAGTTTCAGTGACTTCCGATTACCTTCTAGGATAAAATACAAACTTTTGTTTGGCATTTAAAACCCCTCATAATCTAGCTCTAACGTGTCTTTCCTAGCTTATTACAAATTACTCCACTTCATGTACTCCGGCATCCAGTTAAACAGATCTACTCATTGTTCCCTAAATTCAGCACTCTTTTTCTTGCTTCACTGTCTTTGTACAGGCTGTCGACAATTCTTGGCACTGCATTTCAACTTCATTGGTGTGTCTCATAAAATCCCCTTCTTCAAAGTTGAGTTCACATGCCATGTCCTTCAAGAAGATTTTCCCAATTCTCCTTCCCAGCTGCTTGTGTCCCCCTCCCAACTCTATGTATTTTGTATATACCTTGTAGATATTTTGTCCTTACTTATATATGTACACATTATTTTCCCCAAGAGGATCAGTCAGTCAATAAATATTTATTAAGTGCCTTTTAGGTGCCAGGCACTATGCTAAGTCTGGGGGAAAACAGTCTCTGCTCTCAAGGAGCTCACAATCTAATGCAGAAACACCATATAAACAACTACGTACACATACTGGAAAACTGGAGATTATCAACAAAGGAAAGGCATTAGTATTAAGGAAGGATTGGGGAAAGCTTACTATTAAAGATAGGATTTTATCAGAGACTTGAAGGAAGCCAGGGAAGCCAAGAGGCAAAAATGAGGGACAGAATTCTAGAATTCTAGGCATGGGGGGCATCCAGTGAAAATGCCTGGGAGAAAGAAGATGAAATGTCTTACTTGAGGAAGAGCAAGGAGGTCACTAGCACTTAAAGGGAAAAGTATTGGGAGGGACGTAATGTGAAAAATCATGATTCCCTTCTAAGGTGTAAGAAGACTTGTAAAGGTGTGTGTGTGTGGGGGGTCAGGTTACAAAAGGCAACAAACACCGAACAAGAATTTATATTTGACCCTGAAGGTGACAGGGAATCACTGGAATTTGTTGAATGTGCATGTGTGTGTATTGGGGGAAAGGGGGGTTGAGACTGGGGGAAGGTTTGACATAGTCAGACCTGTACTTTAGGAAGATCAGTCTGACAGCTGGGTGGAAGAGGGACTGGAGTGGGGAGAGACTTGTGACAGAGAGACCAAGCAGCTATTGCAATAATCCATATGTGAGGTAATCAGAGGAAAGGAAGTATATTTGAGAGATGTACAAAGGCCTCAGGAAGATTCGATATGGGAGGTAAAGGAAAATGAAAAGTCAAGGACAAGCAACTAGGACAAGGTTTTCAGACTGGGTGACTTGGGAGGATGGTAACAGTAATGAAGACATTAGGAAGAACGGAATACAGGAAGATGTTTGTAGATAGTTGGCAAGAAGCTTTTAAAGCTGGAAAACACCTTAGAGGACATCTAATCCCCTTCATTTTTCAGTTGAGTAAACTAAGGTCCAGAGGGATTAAATAGCTTAACTAGGTTCACCCCACGTCCATTAACTCTACATCTAGTACTCTTTCCACACTGGCTCTCAGATAATCTCTGTGAGGGCTGACACTATTAAGTTTTTATTTTTATATTATCATCACCTAGTGTAGTGCTTGGCACTTAATAAACACTTGTTGAATGCTGAGTGAATTGCCCACAGCAGCTAAATCAAAGTCCTACCTACAACAGGTACTCAGTAACTTCTTATTGGCTAGCAGACTTCCACTGATGAAACCCCTGTCTCATTTCTTATTTTTTTTCCTTAGTTTTCTGATATCGCTATCTTATAGGCTCGTAATATTTGAATTGTAGGCTGTTTGTCCATCTCCCATGGGGCTAGCTCTTAGCTAAAAGGGCTGGCTGCAAACTAAATTTCTTAGACAAAAAAAAAATTGGAGGGGTAGTAGAACTAATTTCATTGAAATCATATTCCTCTGGGTATTAGTAAATACTTTATCTCCTCCTTACAGAATCATAGAGCTGGAGATGATCTCAAAGGCATGTTAGTACAATCTGCATCTGAACAAGAAACCCCTTTGCAACATGTCTCACAAATATAAATTTTGTTTGAGAAGAAACGTTTTATCTTAACTAGAGAGTGGTATGCTGGAGTCACAAGGCAGAATTCTATTTATATGAACATCAGATAGCTAGCAGAATACTTCTCACTGCCAAAACAGGGCTAACAATTCACTTACAATTGTTCTTCTCCATTTTCTAAACCAGAGTTGCATGCAGCACAGATCCACTCCATGAGGGCTATCTGTGGGGTTAGTAAATACACAGGCCAGGCCTAATGGCTAAACATGAATAGAAAGACATAAGGAAGAGGAAGATTGGGAGAAGGTAAGAAATGGTTCCCCAGGGTCCCCCAACTCAAGCATTCCGTGATCTTGTGGTTCAGTACCTCTGAATTGAAGCCCCAAATCACAATGCAGTTAAATAGGTCAGACCTGATAGTACTCAATTAGTTGTTCAATCAATAATCATTTAGTAAGCTTACTATGTGCCAGGCACAGTGCTAAGCTCTGGGGACACAGAGACAAAAGTTAAAGGTCCCTGCCCTCAAGGAGTTGAGCTCTATTTGGGGGACAGAATATGTACCTTTAAGTACATAAAAATATATACTAGATGAATACAAGGTAGTTTGGGGAGGCAGAGCATTAGCATTTGTGGGGATCAAGAAACACTGTATAAAAGGTGTTGATTGAGTTAGATTTTGAAGGAAACTAGGGATATGAGAGGTAGGAGGGAAAGAACTCCAGAAATGCTGGACCATGCATTAGGCAAAAGAGAATAATGTATAAAATTGGAAATGTAAGAAAGGCCCAAGTTATATTCAACTTTATATGTTTATATTTGATCCTAGAGATAATAGAGCCACTGGAGTTTACTGACTGGAGGGGTGACAAGGTTAGGCCTTCACTTGAGGAAAATCACTTTGGCAGGAAGAAGGATTGGAATGGGGAGAAACTTGAGGCAGTGAGACCAAATAAGAAGTTACTGCAATGCTGTAAGTAATAAGGGCTTGAACTAAGGTAGAAGCTCTGTCAGTGGAGAAAAAGGGACCTATGAGAAAGATGTTAACATAGAAATAATAAGATTTTGCATCTGATGGCATATGTGAGGTAAGGGAAAGGCCATCAAGGCAACCTTGTTTTAGAAATAATAATTACTGACTTCTTATATATTTTTCCTCCTGTTATGTGAAGCATGAGAGAACAAAAATAAGAAAGGAGGATGAAAAGAAAAGGAGGGCAAATTGGGGAAGGGTAAGAAGAGAAGAGATAAAAAGGAGAAACAGGTACAAACATTTGAGTTAGGACCATCAACAACTAACTGAAGATTTAATCACATCATGTTAGATCTTAGAACAGACTTCATAATGCATTACAAAAGACTTGGATTAAGTCCTAATTTTTTTTGATCTTTCACTGAGGAACAAAATTCTCAATCTAGCACTTTTTCCATTGTTACCCTGATGAAGTTCTATCCATTTCGGGTTTTGTTTCCTAAACTGCTCCATTCACCAAGCAGCAAGCTGAGCATGCAGCAGAAGGGTGCAGAGGCCCATTCTTCCCACTTCCCTTAGTAAAGCAACAAGCATCATGCATGGTCAAAAGTCTCCTTTCTGTCCTCAGCAATTCAACAAACATCCAAGACAGAGTCATAAACAGGAATTCCATCATTTGAAGTAAATGCATGTGAGGGTGGGAAGAGTCTTGGCTATGAACCCTTTTGTATATGATTGAGAGAAAATGGGAAAGAAGTCATGAGTATCGGGAAAGCTGTGAAGCCAGGTCTGTGTACAAAGGAGACAACGATCATAGAGATTTTTGAGCCAGGTAATGAATGAACTTACATGATCTGTGGATCCACAGATAACAGCAGCAAATGATCAGTGTTTATTTTCTGCATATTTTGCATTTATTTATATGTATACCTGTTATTTCCCCCGATGAAATGCAAGTTCCTTGAGGGCAAGGGATCTTTTTTTTGGGGGGGGGTCTTTGTAGAGATAGTACCTGGCATAAAGTAGGTACTTAATAAATGCTTGTTGACTGATTGACCTAACAAGATCTTTACAGGTGGTTGCTAGGTAATGGTAAGACGATGTTTAAAAGAGTATTGACATGCCAACTCATCCTCCTCCTGGGAGGAAGGAGTGAGCCTTGGAGAGAATATAAAGGCATCTGATGGAGATGAGAGAGAAGGCTAAGTTTCAGTACATGCCATAACGAATGTTGGGCAAACCAGGATAAAAATTTCGAGTCAGAAGGACCATTAGAGGTGAACAAATCCACCCCCACCACACACACACAATTTTGTATACGATGAAACCGAGGCCCACCGAAAAGGGATTTGTCTAAAGCCGCAGGACTACACGGGAGTCAGGTTTTCGGTCGTCCGATTGTCCATCTGGCCGCCGCACCATCATAAAGGATGGGGCCCAAGGCGGCGGAGGAAACGCGAGGCCGAGCTGCTGAAGGCTAGCGACGAGCTTTCCGTGCTGGGACGACAGCGGCGGGGTGAAGCCTCCTTTGCTGCGGATGCCAGGGTCCCCAGGCCCGGCGGCCACTGAGTGGGGTCGAGGGCCGGGAGGAGAGGACCCCGCCAGCTCCGGGCCCCGGGAGCCCCAGTCGCTGGCTGGGGAGTGAAACGTGCCGAGTCATCCCCCGGGATGACAGCGTGTGAGGCGGGGCCCCGACTACTTCCGCCCGGAACCCGGCCTCTCCCCCAAACAGCGGGGCCTGCCCGGCCTCCATTTACCTCGGCGTGATGGCGGCGGGCGTCTGACCGCGGGCCTGCCCCGCTCTCCCCCTCCTCCGGCCCCAGCTCCTCGCGGCCCCCCCCGCGCGCACAGCCGCTTTGCCTCTCGCTCTTTCTTACCCTCCACCTCAGGACTGATCAGAATCTTTGGACTCAGTCTCGGCGCTTCTTCACTTCGTCTCCTTCGCTTGGCTAGGATTTGGGAAGAGCCCGGAGAACTGCTGATTGGCTCCGGGCGGTGACGTCACACGGGAAAAAGTTGGGACAGAAGAAACCTCTGCCCGACAGGTGGCGCAGCCCGGCTGCGTTCCTGGGCCAGGCCTGTTTCCTGGGCCAGATGACAGAAGTTTCCCAAAGAAATGTGTTCCATCTGCGCGAAGGCCTCACTTTTTAAACCCCTTCTGAAGTGTCTTCACTGGGCTTTGGGATGCTTCGACTTGAAGAGGAACAGAGGCACAGACTGAACTCAGAAGGGCTTCTTGAAAAAGAGAGGACTGTGAGGGATAAAGATGTCCTCGGGCATTCTGCGAAGGGACGGGTGGGCAGTAGGAGGAGAGAGTACGAATCAACTGAATAGGCGTCTTGAGAAGTCCAGTGTTCGCAGAGGAGACGATCTAGATCTCATTGACTCCAGGCTTGGGGAAGAAGCCTTCTGAATACGAATATTTATTTCACTGCTTCGAGAAATATTGCAGATTCTTTACTACGTCGTTTTGGATTTCAAGCACAGAGTGGACAGTCAGATGCTAAAAGAACAAATTCAGGGTTATTGTGCAGTATTGCTCATCATTTACTATGAGATGTCTAGTTGCAATTAAGGGTGGACTTTGTAGAAAGACCAGACGCAATCCTTTAGTCCTTAGATTCGCTTGTTGGATACAGGCAAGGGATCCATTAAACGCAAGAGTTCAGAGTAGGAGTGAAGCATGGTGGATAGTGCAGGATTACAAGTAAGGACGCTGAATTGGGATCCCTCCAACTCTAACTTTGTGATCATGGTCAGTTTAATCTTAGTCATCTGAGGCAACCAGCTGGGAAACTGGAAAGAGTACTGTTCAAATGGGTTACTACCTGTGTGACCTTGAAAGTCATATAATATTCTCGAACCTCAGTTTCTTCATATGTAAAATGAAGGCCTTGAATTATGAGACTTCTGAGGTCCTTTCCAGCTCTGAATCTAATAATTCAATTATCATTTGTAAAGTAGATACAATACTTGAGGTATCTACTTGTTATATTCTTGTGATGTAAAGTGCTTTCAAAATCTTAAACACTATTCTATTAAAATATTTCTTGAGCCATCATTTGTGTAATGATTGTGCTCGAAGTTGTAAGGGAAACAAAATAAGTTGAGGTATCTACTTGAAGGATAAGAGTCATAATGGTGACAAGATCTGTTTTAAGGTTTGCAAAGGATTTGTGAGTTCATCAGTATGGGTATATCCTCCACTAGACCCATACTAGAATTTATTAGGCAATTGTAATAGAGCTGTAATAGTTGAAAAATTCATCCCATTGTAGCCAGCTTGGCCATGAGCCTCAGTAAAATATTTTTTGAGAATATTACTGTTTTTAATCATTCAAATAGTTCAATATCCATCTCAAATTCTTTATTATACTCAGGAGCACAACTTGAAGCTAGTTAAATAGTTTTCACAATTTTTTAAAACGGTTTTTAGATAATAATATGCAATTTACCATGAAAATATTTGGCATTTAAAAAAATTCTTAACAGGCACTTACATGAGGGAATAAAATCAATCTGTTTCTGGACATCCACATTAATGGATATCCTATACACAGTACATAGAATCTTCTGCCAATAAGAAGAATTAAGTGCTGACTGTTTTGTCAAAATTGAATAGTAGAAAAACAGATCTTAGATAAATGTAATCCAGATGATTTTAGCTTACACATAAAGTTAATTGATAAGGCTTGCACTGAGCTTTATTAAAAAAATCTTAGGTGGTCCATGATCCTTAAGAGCAAGTGGCTTCTGTGCATCAGATGAGAAATATATATATGTATGTGTGTGTGTGTGTGTATATATATACACACATATATACATATATATAATTAATTATATCTAAGAACTAAACTCATGCTTGTGAACATATGTGAACAATTGCAGCCTTCTCTTTAGAATCTCAACAAATGAGGACTTAAATTCAATATTAAACAAAAGTAAGACAGACATTGTATTTCCTAGAAAAGTTAGCTTGTGAAATCTGAGTTGTAATGGATCAGAGATGATACAAAGTCCATCTACCCTACTAATGAATAGGTTTGTGAATTTAAAAATTAGTGTTTTCTGCATACACATCTAAAATTTCCCTAGTACTTAAAAGAAATAAAATGCCTTAAAGTATGGGGGGAAATCTTATATGAAAATTCAAAATTTTAAAATATTAACAACATTGTAGAAAATCTACAGAAGTGTTGTAAACTAGGAATGGCAAAAAGGGAGAATGAAATTAAAATGACCAACCTACCATGTTACATGCTTCCTTAATTTGCAAGGTTATAATGAAGCTATAAATTTAAAACATTATGGAATGGGAGCCTCAGAACAAAAAATTATATATAAACTTCTCAGACACATACAAGACTTTTAAAAGAATATTTGGTGAGAAGTGTACACATAGAATACCTAGTTCTAAATGTTTATATAACACCATAACCACTTGAATTTTTTTTTTTGATGAGGCAATTGGGGTTAAGTGACTTACCCAGGGTCACATTGCTAGTAAGTGTCAAGTGTCTGGTCTGAAACTGGTTTTGAACTCGGGTCCTCCTGACTCCAGGGTTGATGCTGTGTCCACTGTGCCACATAGCTGTCTCTTGAATTTTCTAATATCATCTAAATGCACATCTTGTTTTGGAGAGAATATCAATGTCCTAGAAGTGGATGGGGGCAAGAAGTTTTATAATCTATATCATATAGAAGGAAAATAAAATTATAAAATATTAACATATTTCAGTGTATATTATCAAATGAAAGTATGAAATTAAAAAAAAAACCTAGCAAAAAAACCTTGAGAAAGTTCCAATGTTTCAGGGGAAAAAATATTTTGAAGAAAGTTTAGTTAGTCTTTAGCAAAATAAATACAGGAGGATCAGATTAAGGATAACAATTATGAATGGAATTTAGGCCTATTTTTCCCCCCTATAGGCTACAACCATATCGAATCTTTTGAATTTTCACAGTTTTCCTTCATCCTTAATTCATATTTGAGGCTGCTGAGCGTACACCTGTGGTTCTGGAGATTCAAAATGCTGGTGAAAGTTTGTTCTCTTAACTTTCTCAGTTTCTCACAAGCTTTTCTCCATAACATGATCTTTTACTGCTTGAAGTACCATCTGCCTTCCTTATTCATGAGGACTAGTTTCAAAAAGATATACTTAGAAATTATTATTCACACCTCACTGATGTGAATAAAGTTGGGTCATATCCTGCTGGAAGGAGTCAATTCACCTTTAGCTGGTATCCCATCCATTATATCTTATTTAGCTATGGCCTCTATTTATGTTGTGCTGGGCTTAATTCTAATGATCTCTTTGTATGGACTGTAACATCATACGCTGAATTTTTATTCTTACTAATAAGAATTATTTTCCAATTATGACATCTTTTAAGTGATACTTTAAAGATGTATTATATTCAAATTCTACATGTAGACAATTTCAATGCTGATTTCCATCTTAATAGAATTGTTAGTATCAGAATAGGTTCAAGCTGATAAATGATACCAAGTCTGATAGTAATCTTATTATATTAGCACTTTAAGAAAATAATTATCTTGAAACAGATTCACCATCATAGAAGAAGTGTGTTTTTTCTACTTTGCTATCTTCTCTGTGAGACAACTTATTGTCCACCATCAACCCAGATAGAAAACCAAGCCTAGTGTCTCTTGGCAAATCTAGCTAAATTGACCCTCCAATCACAGGTTTTCATCACTGTAGGTCTTTCCAAGTTGGTAGAAGAGGCAGAACTTGAGCTCTACTGATAAATCTTTCAAGAATTGGGATAAACAGTTTTCAACAAGTTTAAAATCTTTGGGAAGATTTATGGTTAGAAAAGTGACATGAAAGGCATAAAAAAGTCCACATTTCCCACATATACTCCAGCAAAAATCTAAAAAGGCACAAGATGAAATAATGGTCAAAAAATTCAAAGAGAAACAATAGTAAATGCCTTCATCCAGACCAAAATTGGAGAAAAAAACAGGAATTATGGTCACTGGGAGAGAGATTCCACTAGAAAAGCCAGCATCAGCTTAGATAAACAGGCTGGAAGTCTGCGCCTGAGGGAGCACCTGAGGCTTGCAACCTTCTGAAGGGAAAGTGTAAATTCAGTGAAAGTTCACAGATGGGAGCCCTCTGGAGGCTAGGAGCTAGCAGTGCTCTGACATAGATACTTGGGGTAGTGGGACTGGAGTGGGGAGCTGAAGATTGCAGCACTCTAACCCAGAGTGATACATATGCCTGGAGTGCTGTCCCTCCTCACTTCTGTTCCCTAGTGTCCCTAGATTCCTTGAAGAATCAGCTCAATTCCCATCTTTTTAAGAAACATTTTCCTGGTCTTAATGCAAGGTTAGCTTTGCCCTAACGCAGCAAGGATATGTAACAAGTTTTAAAATTAATTATCTGAAATTTAAAAAAAACAACTGAGGTACAAATATGAAGTAATAAATAATGATTTAATAGTAAGGCAATCAAGTTACCATTTAATCAGGTCAACGAATTAGTGACAAAGGAGTGATTTACAGAGCTTATTTTTATAACAGAAAAAAAGGAATGAAAAAAATGGGAAACTTGTTTTGAACATAATTCAGTTAGACAAGACAGGTCATCTGACTAGTTCATTTCTTCCAGGCAACATCTAGCTGTCAAAGTGATATTACTCCAGAAGTCCTTGCCCTACAGGTGATGCCTTTTGTGACCAGAAAGCTTGCTGGGAAAAAGGAACTTGTGGTTTGTAGTTATCAATCATCCCTCCCCCCTTCCCCATCTTCCAGCTGCCAGCCTTAGAAGATTCTATTGCTCAACTTAGACTTAATCTCTAGCTAAAGAAAAAAAAAACTTAACCCCTTACACTGGAAAGAGGAACTTAACCTTTAGTCAATTCCCCCTTTCTCCAGCTGCTAGAAAGGGGAACTTAGCCTTTAAAAAGAGTCTTATAATCCTATGATTATTTTATTTCTAGAAAGATACATCTTACTCTAAATTATCTGCTGCTAAATGAAAATGTCTTATCAACCTATCCACTAAATTTATAGGTAACCTAGACTTAAGAGAACATCTATATTAGTATAGCTTAGCTGTTAGGGCTAGCTTTTCCTAAAGATGGGAGCTTAATCCTACAATCAAACTAAAAATCAAAGTTATCAATACTAATTGATTTCCTTTTCACAAGGAAACAATGCACTCTGGAAAGATTATTTACACAAGATTCAGAAACGAATATACTAACACTACTAGGTGCTGAGGAAGATGGAAAGCAATCTGTCAGAAAGTAGGTTTGTTAAATACAAGATCACGTAGGAAAGAGGGCACTTGTGAGTAAGAGGATCAGGAAAAACTTCATTTATAAGTTAGTACTTGAGCTGCATTTTTTAAAGTATATAACAATTTCAGTAAGAAGTCTGGAGAGACTTGCAGCTAGTTGTTGAATTTGTAATATATTTTTTTAAAAAAGGAAATGTATATAAAAAGATTTGACGTTTTGTATACTATCTTTTTGTTGTCTGAGAAATGTTCATGTTTGTTGTTCGTCAGGTTCAGAATAACAAAAAATTAAAATCCTGGGGGGAAAAAACTAAAGGGAAGATGACTTACATAAATATAGAGAGGATGTTTTTCTGTGTTTTCTATTATATGAGACAGGAGTGAGGGAGGAGATAGTAACAGAAGGAATCTGGGTAATATGAGACCAGAAGGAGAGAAGAGGGAGATTCCAGTGAATGAGCTGATTTTTTTTTTGATAAAATATGCAGCAAGGTTCTTAGCTGAGACACACACACACACACACACACACACACAGAGAAAGAGACAGACAGAGAGAGAGAGGGAGAGAGAGAGAGAGAGAGAGAGAGAGAGAGAGAG